GGGAGCAGGCCCCGGGCGCTGGCACAGCGACCCCGGGGCGCAGCGCGCGTCCGCACAGCCGGGACCCCACGCTTTACCTGATCCAGCCGAGGCGCGGGTGGGAGCCCGGGACCATCGGGCTCGGCGGCGGCCCTGCCTCACCTGGGCGGAAGTGAGAGCCCGGGGTGACCGCGCCTCACCTGGCAGGCCCTCCCCTCGCCCGGACCCTCCCTGGCAGGGGCGGGGCGCCGGGAGGGGCGGCCGGGGGGGGAGCCTGCGGCAGGGGAGGTCGGCTCCCGGGATCGGGTAGTTGATGCCCTACTTTGTGACGGTGACGCTCAGCTGGGCGAGAGAGGGTTAACGGCCTGGGAAAGAGGGGTGTGGGGGCCAAGTCAGCAGAGGAAACCGCGCGCAGGGGGCGCAGCCGACGCCTGGGGGCCCGGGATGTCGCGGCAGGCAGGTGGAAGGGGAGGGCTGGCCGAGAGCTGTCCCACCAGGGACGTTGCTGCAACACTGGTCAAACCAGCTTGCCCTGGTGGTCTGTCGCCTCTCCCTTGTGTTTTCCATATCCGCTGACCACGTATTGCTGTTTTCTTCTCATTTAGTTGAAGAAATGGACCTGAATGTGTTTGACAGCTGTGTGAAGCAACTGGAGGGAAACAGTGGACCTGATAGGTGTACCGGCCCAAAGTCTGGGATCCAGGCAGCCTTTATTTCACTATACTGTACATTTTAGCATTCTTAAGAAGTATTTACTTAGTTTTATTTATTAGTTAAATATTTTTTAATTATTTAATTTTATTAGTTACCATTTTTTAATTTGACCAGAGAGGAGTAAGAAAGCAAGCCAGCAAGCCACCAAGTCAGGACTCAACCAAGGTGGGCCATGTAGGAGTCCCGTGCCTTAACCACCAGCCACCTGTCAGCTTTTTATTTATTAGCAGTAGTAGTAGTAGTAGTATTCAGTTGGACCAGGAGAGAAAGAGAATGTGAGAGGGCAAGCCACCAGGTCCCAGACTCAAAGGGCCATCCGCCAAGTGGAAGTTCAACACCTCCACCATGTTACCTGCCGCCACCATTTTAACATTTTCTTTCTAGAAAGTGGGACCAGCAGATGGTGTAATGGTTTATCCCCTGAGCTCCCACATGGCTGACCTTGGTTTGAGTCCTCCACCCAGTGACTTGAAACTCACACAGGGCAGGTGTGCATATGTGCCACAAATCTCAAGAGAATGAAGGAGAAGGGATTGCTGTGTGGCCATCCCCCAGGGCATATGATTCCTTGCTTTCTGTTTCTGTTTCTTTCTCTCTGGTGAGCTTATCTACCTATAATAAAAATCTCTCTGGAGGGAAAAAAAAAAAAAAAAACAACTTGACTTTGGGAAAAATATTCCAACATTACACCACTCTCTGTAACTAACATTAGAATTTTAATCATAGGCATTTTACTTTTTCTAGTATAGTTCATGCATTAATGATAAAGAGAATCCGTTTTGGGGTGCCTTATTGAATAAGTGTAGTATTTCTTAAGCACTATGAGTGACTCTGGGAAGAGGTGTTAAAACAGGATCCCTGTCCTCAAGAAAGATGAGGAATACATAGAAAACAACTGCAACCTAAGAGCACTTATGAAATCACACACTTATTCAGCGTAATGGTTCGTCACTGGATTCCTACATCATCAACCACAGTTCGAGTCCTGGACCTGGCAGCTTAACACGCACTCCAGGCATATGCATATGTGCCAAAGATCCCTAGAGGAGGATGGAGGAGAAGGGATTGCAGCGTGGCCATCCCCTCTGGGGGAGAGGGGTGATTTCTCGCTTTCTATCTACCTATCTCTGTCTCTCCAGCAAGTGCACATGCCCTGTAGGAAAAAAAAAACAAAAAAAAAACTCTCTCTTAAAAAAAAAAAAGAAAGAAAGAAAAATCACACACTTGGCACCTTACATTTACTATTTTTAAAATTTTATTTATTATTTTCATTGTCTTGTTTATATTACGTTGAATCACATATATCTTTACAGTGTATTTCTTTTTCCAGAAGGAATACCTTGTATATCAGTCAAGACAAAGACATTACTATCCACATCATCATCATCATCAAATAGCTTCTCATCATTTTTTCCAGATTATTATTATTTCCATTTTTAAAACATTCAGTCATTATATATCATTTTGCTTGTAAAAAGAATTTACCCAACATAAAATACTTCTCAGACCAGTCCAGTGGAGAATACTATACATGTTATCATCAACAGGTCATAAACCATTTCTGTGTCCCATAATGTCATGTCTATTTGTTTTCTTGCTGTCCTTCCCTATGCTCTTCCCTTCTCCCGCCTTATTCCACACTATCTTCAGCATCCTTAACTATTTTTACTGCTTTTATGCCCTCCAATATTTCAATCTCTACTATAAAGTGTGGATAGTATGTATTAAGTGGATACATGCAATATCTTTTCTTTTATATCCTGGCTTGCTTCACTCAGCAATAGATCCTCCATATCCAAACACTTTCTATTAAATGCCAGGGTCTTGTTGTTTTTTATAGCTGAATAGTATTCCATAGAGTAGATGTGCTACATTCTTTCAGTCCATTCATCTGTTTGTGGACATTTGGGTTGGTTCCATGTCTTAGCAATCGTGAATAATGCTGCAATAAACATCGATGTGCAAGTGCTTTTCTGACTGAGCATTCTCCTGTCCTTTGGGTAGATACCCAGAAGTGGGATCACTGGGTCAGATGGTGGTTCTATTTGTAGATCTTTAAGGAACCTCCATATTGTTCTCCACAGTGGCTGAACCAGTTTACATTCCCAACAGTGTAGGAGAGTTCCCTTTCACCACATCCCTGCCAACACTTACCACTTTTGAAATTTTTAATCTTTGCCATTCTGACAGGGGTTAAGTGCTATCTCATTGTGGTTTTAATTTGCATTTCCCTTATGATGAGGGGTGTTGAGCATTTCCTAATATGCTTTTGGCTGTTTGAGTGTCTTCCTTAGATAGATTTTTGTTCAGCTCATTTTCGCATCGTTTAATTGGGTTAATCTTTTATTTATTTATTTATTATTTTTTTTTTTTTGAGTAAGCCTGTGTATTCTGTGTATTCTGAGTTCCCTGTGTATTCTGGTTATCAGTCCCTTATCTGAGGCACATTTTACAAAAATATTCTCCCATTCTGAGGGTGGTCTATTTGTACTAATTACTGTGTCCTTTGCTGTGCATAAACTTCTTAGTTCCACTTGTCTATTTTAGGGATTATTGCCTGTGCTTTGGGAGTCTTTTGGAGAGGTTTTTGCTATAGGGTGCGTGCGCTCGCCAGACAGACAGAGAGAGACAGAGAGACAGAAAGCGAGAAATCACCCCCCAGGGGGGATGGCCACTCCGCAATCCCTTCTCCTCCATTCTCCTCTCGGGATCTTGGGCACGCACGCACACGCGCCCGACATGAGTTTTAAGCCACTGGGTCTGAGATGTGAACCGGGTCGACTACGTGGGAGTCCAGCAACATAGCCATTATGCTAACTGCTGGTTCCCTAGGAGTCTTATTTAAGATAAGTCTTTGCCTTAAGTGGGGGTAGATTTTTTGTTTTGTTTTGTTTTAAACTTTCTTCTAAAACATAAATCACAAAACTTAAGAGAGAAGGAGGCAGAAGAAAAGCATGCCTCTCTTGTCTGGCCTGGCTGGCATCCTCACAGGTTGATGTCCTGCAAGTCTGTAGGGGTGGTGGCTTGGTCTAGTTCATCCTCCAACTTGGAACCATCACGCTGGTCCTAGCGGTATTGCTGCAGGCTATTGAGCAGTACCACCTCGATCTGCTCCTGGCAAGCCTTCAGACAGTCCATGTCTGTGTTGGTGAACTTGGCCAGCAGCTTGGTTAGGGCATCCCACGTGCGTGAACTCACTTCCTCGTCTTGCCACAGCCGGCAGATGGCTGCGTCCACACTTCCTGTCCGGATTGTAGATGGTGGGTACATGGAAAACTTGAAGTTGTTAGTGCACAGAGCAATGAAGTTCTGCGCATGCTTGTGGATCAAAGACAGCTTCTCCCTCTGTGGTGGCAGCTTGCAGAGGATGTGCTCAATGAAGTCATGTGGGGTGACAGCAGCCAGGTTCCTCTTCAACTTCCCCAACATCACTAGCTCCCACTCCAGCAGCTCCTGAAGCTTGATGGAGTTGTCGGTGTAAATGTACAACTTCTCCACGGTCAGCGGGATGGTCTCTTTCAGCTTGGAGGCCAGGAATGTGCAGACAGTGCCCAGGAGCTGCAGATGGCACTTAGGAGTTAGAACTCCCACCAAGAAATGGTCCAGGTAATTCATGACCAAAGGGAAGACCTTGTCTTCACACTTCTGTTCCTCACAGACCTCCAGCATCTAAGTGGCCACCATCCTGCTCATGTAGGGCTGGAGGTCCTTCTGCACGCACTTGAAGTACAAGCACCGCAGAAGGTACAGCTCCTCGATGGTGAGCAGGTTCTGCAGAATGTGGTCGTCCTGCAGCTTGTGGCAGTCTGGCACAGCCCTGAGCACCAGGTCCACTTCGCAGCAAAGCAGTTCCATGGCCAGCCGGCAAGTACTCACTCCCCTGTCTCCCTCGCACTGGAAAAGTTTTTCTCAATTTTTTTGGAGGGGGGAGAGAGAGGGCTCCCCTTACCTCCTTCCTTCAGGCTAGAGAGGATTTGGGGCAAAAAAGTGAGGGTAAAGAGTGAAGGTGGTGGAAAAGAGTGGGAAGGGATGTGGTGGGCGAGCAGAGCCTGAGAGCTGCCTAACTCGCACCAGTCCTCCCCTTCAAACTGGGCTCGCTCCCTTTACACTTACTATTGTGTGTCTGCTTGTTTTAAAGAAAAGATCACTCATTAGCCTGGCAAGAAGAGACACACAATGCCAGCATGGGCCATGCTTTTGGGAACTAACAAACTGTTGAGGGAAATAATTTATACAAGAACTTAAATTACCAAATAGAATGATGCTAAACCCTTCAGAAAATAGAGATTTATTATACTTGTTGAAAGCATCAGTTAGAACTTAAACAGGTCAGGACCAGCAGATGGTGTGGTGGTTAAGCCATTGTATGTCCCTCTGTGTCTCTCTCTGGTCAAATTAAAATAAATGAATGAATAAATAAAAGTAAATAATTCTTTTTTTTAGGGACCAGCAGTCAGCGCAATGGCTATGTCGCTGGACTCCCATGTAGTCGACCGTGGT